AATGGAGGGAAGCACCTTAAGACTCAGGAAGTTCTAAAGAGGTACTGTTAAGACTCAGAAAGTGAACAGCTCAGAAGTTTCAGGAAGTCAACAAAACTTACCAGATTTACAAGGCCTCTCTCTCCAGTTACATAAACAGTGAGACTGCTAAGGAGAGGAGACCCTCAAAACTGTCTAACCGCCTGCAAGCTGTGCAGAGAGTTCCTGGGTCCCAGCTTTCATGAGTCGTCACCCATGCTGCGTGGGCTTTTGGTGATGTAGCTGTTTTGAGCTGTCCATGCTCTTGTAAACAACCCCTCACCTATACTCCTAAAATAGCAACATACTCATTGGTTCCCCAAGTTGGACTTTGGTGGTATCATTACTTTGGTCTGTCATTGGTTCCCCATCTGGTGTGAGTAGATGTTTACTCATGTCTCCCCAGAAATAGTGCCACACAACAAAAAGTGCAGTACGATAAGATATTTTGAGAGTGACCAGATTCACAGAACTTATTATACTATATTGCTATAAGTTCTATTTCATTATTAATCTTTTAATATGTCTAAATTGTAAATTGAAGTTTTTATAGATTGAAAAAACAGAAAAGTTAGTTATACACAGGGATTTGTACTACAAAATTTTAGGCATCACTGAGAGGCCTTGGAGTGCATGCCCCAAATATAAGGACAGTATGGTGGCTCGTCATTCTCCTTGCCAGAGTTGGGTTTAGAAAGGTGTAAGTGGTAAGTGATGTACCTGGGTAATGACACTGGAAGGGAGAACTTTCTTTTCTTGAGAGAGAGAGAGAGAGAGAGAGAGAGAGAGAGAGAGAGAATATGAATCATCCTTATGCTTCTGATTGTCACAGAGTGGGTGGTGATGCTTATACCTGAGGCACACATGGCGAGCTCAGGAGGAGCTGGGGTGCCAGCCAGGGAGGACAAATCAAGGAAAGTTCAAGAGCAAAATGGAAGGATGGGGCTTCTGATGACCTCGGTGGCCACTGTCGTTACCACGTGGGGCTTCCTAACTTTGTCATATGACAGAATCGTCATTTTGCCAGGTCATTTTGCTCCGAATTTTGTCACTTCTTGCTTTTTGTAAAAGCACCTCCTGTTTGCTATTCTCATCCCTCTCAGGAGAATCCTGTTAGTAGGAAGACTAAGAGAATTATAAACTAAGAGACTGAGAAAGCCACAAGAATCAATAAACAGGATCTTATTAATAAACATTTATTATTTGTAATTCATAACTCACCTATTTTAAAATGTAAAAGCACCTCCTGTTTGCTATTCTCATCCCTCTCAGGAGAATCCTGTTAGTAGGAAGACTAAGAGAATTATAAACTAAGAGACTGAGAAAGCCACAAGAATCAATAAACAGGATCTTATTAATAAACATTTATTATTTGTAATTCATAACTCACCTATTTTAAAATTTAGACGAGCTTCACATCACAACTTCACTTTTGTGATGGAGAAAAGAGCTGACATGTGATTATTAATACAAGGTAGGAAAAGAATAGTCAGGCACCACACAACTCTGATTTGGTCATCGATGGACCTTGTACATGTCTGTCTACACTGTGTAGGCTTGGTGTATAGTAGATTATACTATCCAGGTTTGTGTAAGAACACTGTGGTGTTCACCCAATGATCTAAGTGCCTTTCTAAGACTATAACCCCATTGTTGCGCAAGCTGTATGACAGTTTTCACCAAAGTAAAAATATATGTATTGACAGTAGAAAGCAATTAATACAGAGACCCACAACTGGTCAACATGCAGAATAAGAGACTGCAGAGTGCTCAGCCCTAAATGGGACATCTATATCATACCTTTCTCCAAGGCTTGGGGAACTTAGGGGAACTTAGTGGAAGGGTGGGGGGTAGGGGGTAGATTTTAAGAACCAGAGGTGATGGAAGCCTACAAGGAAACAGTGTTTTCCAGACAGCAGGGCAGTTGCACATACGAATTCACGGCAATTGTGACAGCATGCACAAGACCTGTTCAAGCTCAAGCCAGACAAAATCCCATCATGGAGTGGGGAGATGGCCATGAACTCCCACCCCTAGTTGAGGAACTGTTGGCAGTTGATATCTTCTGGGAGAGGAAAAGCCAGTTTTCTTTAAGGGTTGTGACCCCGATAAGTCAACTACAATCCAGGGCAAGTTCCACACAATTGAGATTTGGGCAATACATATTGGAGTTTGATTGGGGGGGTAGGAAATTGGGTAGATAGGGAAGTGGGGTTAGATCTGGGAGGAGTTAAGGGGAAGGGGAATGTGATCAAAATAATCAAAATACACTGTATGAAATTCTCAAAGAATTACACACACAGA